CAGACCATAATGTAACTGACCATAATGTAACTGACCATAATGTAACTGACCATAATGTAACTGACCATAATGTAACTGACCATAATGTAACAGACCATAATGTAACTGACCATAATGTAACTGACCATAATGTAACAGACCATAATGTAACTGACCATAATGTAACTGACCATAATGTAACTGACCATAATGTAGCTGACCATAATGTAACAGACCATAATGTAACTGACCATAATGTAACAGACCATAATGTAACTGACTATAATGTAACAGACCATAATGTAACTGACCATAATGTAACTGACCATAATGTAACAGACCATAATGTAACTGACCATAATGTAACTGACCATAATGTAACTGACCATAATGTAACAGACCATAATGTAACTGACCATAATGTAACAGACCATAATGTAACTGACCATAATGTAACTGTCCATAATGTAACAGACCATAATGTAACTGACCATAATGTAACTGACCATAATGTAACAGACCATAATGTAACTGACCATAATGTAACAGACCATAATGTAACTGACCATAATGTAACTGACCATAATGTAACTGACCATAATGTAACTGACCATAATGTAACTGACCATAATGTAACAGACCATAATGTAACAGACCATAATGTAACTGACCATAATGTAACTGACCATAATGTAACTGACCATAATGTAACAGACCATAATGTAACAGACCATAATGTAACAGACCATAATGTAACTGACCATAATGTAACAGACCATAATGTAACAGACCATAATGTAACTGACCATAATGTAACTGACCATAATGTAACTGACCATAATGTAACTGACCATAATGTAACTGACCATAATGTAACAGACCATAATGTAACTGACCATAATGTAACTGACCATAATGTAACTGACCATAATGTAACTGACCATAATGTAACTGACCATAATGTAACAGACCATAATGTAACAGACCATAATGTAACAGACCATAATGTAACAGACCATAATGTAACAGACCATAATGTAACTGACCATAATGTAACAGACCATAATGTAACAGACCATAATGTAACAGACCATGATGTAACTGACCATAATGTAACTGACCATAATGTAACTGACCATAATGTAACTGACCATAATGTAACAGACCAAAATGTAACTGACCATAATGTAACAGACCATAATGTAACAGACCATAATGTAACAGACCATAATGTAACAGACCATAATGTAACAGACCATAATGTAACTGACCATAATGTAACTGACCATAATGTAACTGACCATAATGTAACTGACCATAATGTAACAGACCATAATGTAACTGACCATAATGCAACAGACCATAATGTAACTGACCATAATGTAACTGACCATAATGTAACTGACCATAATGTAACTGACCATAATGTAACTGACCATAATGCAACAGACCATAATGTAACTGACCATAATGCAACAGACCATAATGTAACTGACCATAATGCAACAGACCATAATGTAACTGACCATAATGTAACTGACCATAATGTAACTGACCATAATGTAACTGACCATAATGTAACAGACCATAATGTAACTGACCATAATGTAACTGACCATAATGTAACAGACCATAATGTAACTGACCATAATGTAACTGACCATAATGCAACAGACCATAATGTAACTGACCATAATGTAACTGACCATAATGTAACTGACCATAATGTAACTGACCATAATGTAACTGACCATAATGTAACTGACCATAATGCAACAGACCATAATGTAACTGACCATAATGTAACTGACCATAATGCAACAGACCATAATGTAACTGACCATAATGTAACAGACCATAATGTAACTGACCATAATGTAACTGACCATAATGTAACTGACCATAATGTAACAGACCATAATGTAACAGACCATAATGTAACTGACCATAATGTAACAGACCATAATGTAACAGACCATAATGTAACAGACCATAATGTAACTGACCATAATGTAACAGACTATAATGTAACTGACCATAATGTAACTGACCATAATGTAACTGACCATAATGTAACAGACCATAATGTAACTGACCATGATGTAACTGACCATAATGTAACTGACCATAATGTAACTGACCATAATGTAACTGACCATAATGCAACAGACCATAATGTAACAGACCATAATGTAACTGACCATAATGCAACAGACCATAATGTAACTGACCATAATGTAACTGACCATAATGTAACTGACCATAATGTAACAGACTATAATGTAACTGACCATAATGTAACAGACTATAATGTAACTGACCATAATGTAACTGACCATAATGTAACTGACCATAATGTAACTGACCATAATGTAACAGACCATAATGTAACTGACCATGATGTAACTGACCATAATGTAACTGACCATAATGTAACTGACCATAATGTAACTGACCATAATGTAACTGACCATAATGTAACTGACCATAATGTAACTGACCATAATGTAACAGACCATAATGTAACTGACCATAATGCAACAGACCATAATGTAACTGACCATAATGTAACAGACCATGATGTAACTGACCATAATGTAACAGACCATAATGTAACTGACCATAATGTAACTGACCATAATGTAACTGACCATAATGTAACTGACCATAATGCAACAGACCATAATGTAACTGACCATAATGTAACTGACCATAATGCAACAGACCATAATGTAACAGACCATAATGTAACAGACCATAATGTAACTGACCATAATGTAACTGACCATAATGTAACTGACCATAATGTAACTGACCATAATGTAACTGACCATAATGTAACTGACCATAATGTAACAGACCATAATGTAACAGACCATAATGTAACAGACCATAATGTAACTGACCATAATGTAACTGACCATAATGTAACTGACCATAATGTAACTGACCATAATGTAACTGACCATAATGTAACTGACCATAATGTAACTGACCATAATGTAACAGACCATAATGTAACACACCATAATGTAACTGACCATAATGTAACAGACCATAATGTAACTGACCATAATGTAACTGACCATAATGTAACTGACCATAATGTAACTGACCATAATGTAACTGACCATAATGTAACTGACCATAATGTAACTGACCATAATGTAACAGACCATAATGTAACTGACCATAATGTAACAGACCATAATGTAACTGACCATAATGTAACTGACCATGATGTAACAGACCATAATGTAACAGACCATAATGTAACTGACCATGATGTAACTGACCATAATGTAACTGACCATGATGTAACTGACCATAATGTAACTGACCATAATGTAACTGACCATAATGTAACAGACCATAATGTAACTGACCATAATGTAACTGACCATAATGTAACAGACCATAATGTAACTGACCATAATGTAACTGACCATAATGTAACTCACCATAATGTAACTGACCATAATGTAACTGACCACAATGTAACTGACCATGATGATCTTGTTTAACCTTTTAGCGCAGTTTTTTCATCATCCATCTCAGAATTTAAAGATTTGTCTAAGAAATTTAATTAAAGAAATAAAGAAATTAGAGAATTATTGAAATAAAGTATTGTTCATAGAAGAGAGACCAGAGAGAGAGACCAGAGAGAGACCAGAGAGAGAGACCAGAGAGACCAGAGAGAGACCAGAGAGAGAGACCAGAGAGGGACCAGAGAGAGACCAGAGAGAGACCAGAGAGAGAGACCAGAGAGGGACCAGAGAGAGACCAGAGAGAGAGACCAGAGAGAGAGAGACCAGAGAGGGACCAGAGAGAGACCAGAGAGAGAGAGAGACCAGAGGGAGAGAGACCAGAGAGGGACCAGAGAGAGACCAGAGAGAGAGACTAGAGAGAGAGACCAGAGAGAGAGACCAGAGACAGACCAGAGAGAGACTAGAGAGAGAGACTAGAGAGAGAGACCAGAGAGAGACCAGAGAGAGAGACCAGAGAGAGACCAGAGAGAGAGACCAGAGGGAGAGACCAGAGAGAGACCAGAGAGAGAGACCAGAGGGAGAGACCAGAGAGAGACCAGAGAGAGAGACCAGAGAGAGAGACCAGAGAGAGAGACCAGAGAGATACCAGAGAGATACCAGAGAGAGAGACCAGAGAGAGAGATACCACATGGTTCAACACAAAGGAATGATTGAAGCTGTCTCACAGAGATGATGGTTCTGTCTCTGCTGGTCACTGGGGACTCTTGCACATGTATTCCACTGGGGTTTTACTGCAGGGACTTTCTCTTGAGTTTCTCGTTTGAATTGCTGCTGGAAGACGTGGTTCCCAAGGAATTTCCCTGGATACTGGGTTGTTATTGGTGGATGGCTGAGATACAGAAAAAGATAATGGCAACCCAACCAGGTAGAGTAGGTGCTCTCCACCTCCTCTTCCTCCTCCTCCTCCTCCTCTTCCACCTCCTCTTCCTCCTCCTCCTCCCCCTCCTCTCCCTCCTCCTCTACCCCCTCCTCCTCCTCCTCCTCTTCATGTAAATGTCTTGCTCAAAGGGGGCGATGTAAATGAACCCGAGACTTCACTAAACTCACTTATTTTGCATAAAAACGTCATATTTTTCCACCTTGAGCAACACCTGTTTCTGAGGACCAGGACTGGACTGGAGCAGGGTCTGGCTCAGAGGACCAGGACTGGACTGGAGCAGGGTCTGGCTCAGAGGACCAGGACTGGACTGGAGCAGGGTCTGGCTCAGAGGACCAGGACTGAACTGGAGCAGGGTCTGGCTCAGAGGACCAGGACTGGGCTGGAGCAGGGTCTGGCTCAGAGGACCAGGACTGAACTGGAGCAAGGTCTGGCTCAGAGGACCAGGACTGGACTGGAGCAGGGTCTGGCTCAGAGGACCAGGACTGGACTGGAGCAGGGTCTGGCTCAGAGGACCAGGACTGACCTGGACCAGGGTCTGGCTCAGAAGACCAGGACTGGACTAGACCAGGGTCTGGCTCAGAGGACCAGGAAACATGAACTGGACCAGTGTCTGGTTCTTGACGGCGGTGTTGCTGGTTTTAAGGACGACTTCTGAACACGGTGAGTTCAGCAACAAAGAGAGAGACCAGAAAGACTAAAGAGAGACCAGAGAGAGACCAGAGAGAGACCAGAGAGAGACCAGAGAGACCAGAGAGAGACCAGAGAGAGACCAGAGAGAGACCAGAGAGACCAGAGAGAGACCAGAGAGAGACCAGAGAGACCAGAGAGAGACCAGAGAGAGACCAGAGAAAGACCAGAGAGAGACCAGAGAGAGACCAGAGAGAGACCAGAGAGAAAGACCAGCGTGAGACCAGAGAGAGAGACTAGAGAGAGAGACCAGGGAGAGAGACCAGAGAGAGACCACCAGAGAGAACGACTAGAGAGAGAGACCATGAGAGACCAGTGAGATACCAGAGAGGGACCAGAGAGACCAGAGAGGGACCAGAGAGAGACCAGAGAGACCAGAGAGAGACCAGAGAGAGACCAGAAAGAGACCAGAGAGAGACCAGAAAGAGACCAGAGAGAGACCAGAGAGGGACCAGAGAGAGACCAGAGAGAGACCAGAGAGAGACCAGAGAGAGACCAGAGAGGGACCAGAGAGAGACCAGAGAGAGACCAGAGTACCCCAGCTTTAAGAACGCTGTTATTAAACCGTATCCTGTAGTTTTCTCAGACTATCACTACATAAACCGGTCTTTGTCGTGGCCTGAGGCTCAGAGCTTCTGTCGCCTGAAGCACAGGGACCTGGCCACGGTGCGGGACCAGAGCGACCAGAGGCATCTGCGGCTGCGGCTGCCTCCCACGGCTCACCTCCACTGGGTCGGGCTGAGGACGAGCCCCACGCGACGCTGGAGGTGGTCTGATGGCTCCGGGACACTGCAGGAAGACGTAAGCATTTAATCTGTGGACCCAAGACCGAGGCTGTAGACCCAGGACTGAGGCTGTAGACCCAGGACTGAGGCTGTAGACCCAGGACTGAGGCTGTAGACCCAGGACTGACAGTTGTAATGCTCTGTTCCTTCAGCACTGGGCAGAGTCTGAGCCTAAAAACCTGCAGGGTCAGGACCGGTGTGGGCTGCTGTGGTCCAGCGGGAGGTGGACCGACTCCGACTGCAACAACACCAACGGATTCGTCTGCTACGAACGTAACGAGACTGTTTTTATCATTTACTGATGTGCTAGAAAGGATTTAGTTATTATTTATCATCCAGTTATTTTTGTCAGTTATATTCAATTCAAGGCGGTCATGTGTGTGTTGTTGTCTGTGTGTGTGTGTGTTTGTCTGTGTGTGTTGTTGTCTGTCTGTGTGTGTGTGTGTTGTCTGTGTGTGTGTGTGTGTGTGTGTGTGTGTGTCTGTGTGTGTTGTTGTCTGTCTGTGTGTGTGTGTGTTGTCTGTCTGTGTGTGTGTGTTGTTGTCTGTGTGTGTGTGTGTGTGTGTGTTGTTGTCTGTCTGTATGTGTGTGTTTTTGTCTGTGTGTGTTGTTGTCTGTCTGTCTGTGTGGGTGTGTGTGTTGTTGTCTGTGAGTGTGTTTTTGTCTGTCTGTGTGTGTTGTTGTCTGTATGTGTTGTTGTCTGTCTGTGTGTGTGTTTTTGTCTGTTTGTAAGTAAGTAAGTAAGTTTTTATTTATCTGAGTCTCAAAGCGGTTTACAATTGTTAATTATGGGCATTTGTCTCTCACTCCACACAGAGATGGGAGTGGGGTCGCCAGTACAGGAGGCACATGCCAGAACTATTGGACATATTTTTTTAGTGGTAGGGGAAACCGGAGTACCCGGAGGAAACCTACGCAGACACGGGGAGAACATGCAAACTCCACTCAGAAAGGCCCTGGTCCGGCCGGGATTCGAACCCAGGACCTTCTTGCTGAGAGGCGAGAGTGCTATCCACTCAGCCACCGTGCCGCCCGTGTTTGTGTGTGTTGTTGTCTGTGTGTGTGTTGTTGTCTCTCTGTGTGTGTGGTTGTCTGTATGTGTTGTTGTCTGTCTGTTTGTGTGTGTTGTTGTCTGCGTGTGTGTTGTTGTCTCTCTGTGTGTGTGGTTGTAGATGTTGTGATACTAACTGGTGTGTGTGTGTCTCTCAGTGAAAGGGACAGACCTGGTGAGGTTCTTGTTCTACAGCAGGACACAGACCTGGGGGGGGGCACAGGACACCTGCCGGAAGAACCATGTGGACCTGGTGTCCGTGACATCACCAGAAACACACACCGAGGTGCAGGAGCTAGTGGCGGGACGGCGAGCCTGGCTGGGCCTCTTCAACGACGCCTGGGCCTGGTCTGATGGCAGCGACACGTCTTACCGACACTGGGGCGAATGCGGCGGCGAAGGCGGCGGCGAAGGCGGCGGCGAAGGCGGCGGCGAAGGCGGCAATAACTGCGCGGCAGTCTCCACATGCGCTGACGGAGCGTGGGTCGTGAGGGACTGTGCAGAGAGGAGGCCATTCATCTGTGAAGGAGGTGAGAGCCCCACAGGGCTGTGACTCTTATATATAAGACACTTATATACAGCATAAGACACACATATGTACAGTATATATATATATATATATATATATATATATATATATATATATAGACATCCATCCATCCATTTTCTTCCACTTCATCCGTTGCCGGGTCACGGGGGCGGCAGTCTAAGCAAAGACTTCCCTCTCACACACTTTCTCCAGAGGACCAGGACCTGGAGAGGACCAGGACCTGGAGAGGATCAGGACCTGGAGAGGACCAGGACCTGGAGAAGGCCAGGACCTGGAGAGGGCCAGGACCTGGAGAGGACCAGGACCTGGAGAGGACCAGGACCTGGAGAGGACCAGGACCTGGAGAGGACCAGGACCTGGAGAGGACCAGGACCTGGAGAGGACCAGGACCTGGAGAGGACCAGGACCTGGAGAGGACCAGGACCTGGAGAGGACCAGGACCTGGAGAGGACCAGGACCTGGAGAGGACCAGGACCTGGAGAGGGCAAGCCACCTTTTTCTGGTTGAGAACCATGGCTTCAGATTTGGAGCTGATTCTCATCCTGCTGCTTCACACTCGGCTGCAAACCGTCCCAGTGCATGTTGGAGCCAACAGGACAACATCATCCGCAAACAGCAGAGATGACATCCTGTGGTCTCTGAACCGGACCCCCTTCGGCCCCTGGATGTGTTCTCCGAACCGAACCCCTTCCGGACCCTGGCTACATGTATATATACAGTATATATAGGACACATACTGTATATATATATATATAGTATATATAGGACACATGTATATATACTGTATATATATATAGAGTATATATAGGACACATGTATATAATACACATACAATAGACACAAATGTCAGACACATATTACATGGTAATATGTGGTCCCATAATACAAACGCCCTGCACAAGAAGGGCCAAAGTCGCCTCTTCCTTCTGACGAGACTGAGGTCCTTCTGAGGAGACTGAGGTCCTTCTGAGGAGACTGAGGTCCTTCTGAGGAGGCTGAGGTCCTTCTGAGGAGACTGAGGTCCTTCTGAGGAGACTGAGGTCCTTCTGAGGAGGCTCAGGTCCTTCTGAGGAGACTGAGGTCCTTCTGAGGAGGCTGAGGTCCTTCTGAGGAGACTGAGGTCCTTCTGAGGAGACTGAGGTCCTTCTGAGGAGGCTGAGGTCCTTCTGAGGAGGCTGAGGTCCTTCTGAGGAGACTGAGGTCCTTCTGAGGAGACTGAGGTCCTTCTGAGGAGACTGAGGTCCTTCTGAGGAGACTGAGGTCCTTCTGAGGAGACTGAGGTCCTTCTGAGGAGACTGAGGTCCTTCTGAGGAGGCTGAGGTCCTTCTGAGGAGACTGAGGTCCTTCTGAGGAGGCTGAGGTCCTTCTGAGGAGGCTGAGGTCCTTCTGAGGAGGCTGAGGTCCTTCGGAGTGAGCAGGCCTCTGCTCAGGACTTTTTATGACTCTGTGGTAGCTTCTGCCATTTACTACGCTGCCGTGTGCTGGGCCCCGGGCAGCACAGAGCGGGACAGAAACAGACTGAACAAGCTGGTCAGGAGGAGGTGAGGGACAGGAGGCCCCTGGACTCTGTGGAGGAGGTGAGGGACAGGAGGCCCCTGGACTCTGTGGAGGAGCTGAGGGACAGGAGGCCCCTGGACTCTGTGGAGGAGGTGAGGGACAGGAGGCCCCTGGACTCTGTGGAGGAGGTGAGGGACAGGAGGCCCCTGGACTCTGTAGAGGAGCTGAGGAGCTCCTTCAGTGGAAGACTGAGGCACCCTCAGTGTAGGAAGGAGCAGGGCCTTTATCCCCACTGCTGTCAGACTGTACAATAAGTCACTTTAAATGATCACTGTGTGAAAACCTGCACTACTATTGACACTGTTTCCAATTGACACTTGTCACTTTTGTTGTACATAATTATTGTCACTTTATTGCACATATATCCTGCATGTAACATGTTTGCACATTTCCTCCTTTTGCACAATCTGAGTGTTCTCTCCGTGCCTAATGTGACATGTACATTTCTCCTCTGGGAGATAAATAAAGCACATCTTATCTTATCTTATTAAGATTACTGTGACATACATGTATGTGATGAGCATGAGTGAGTGAGGCATTTAGCGTTTAGCCTAACTTTAGCATGTAGCCTAGCTTTAGCATTTAGCCTAGCTTTAGCATCTCCTTTGTCACTAACGGAGCCCGTGGGGAGTAGAGCCACAACATCTTTGCTTCAGTGACATTTACTAAACATTCCTCTTGCTCCGGCTTCAGTTTCTTCATATTTGGATTGAACCAGAACAGATTATTTTTCTATCACATTCTCCACGGTCCAGAGTTTACACATGGTAAGACCAGACGTACATGTAGGAAATGATCATGGACCAGAGTTTACACATGGTAAGACCAGACGTACATGTAGGAAATGATCATGGACCAGAGTTTACACATGGTAAGACCAGACGTACATGTAGGATATGATCATGGGCCAGAGTTTACACATGGTAAGACCAGACGTACATGTAGGATATGATCATGGACCAGAGTTTACACATGGTAAGACCAGACGTACATGTAGGAGATGATCATGGGCCAGAGTTTACACATGGTAAGACCAGACGTACATGTAGGATATGATCATGGGCCAGAGTTTACACATGGTAAGACCAGACGTACATGTAGGAAATGATCATGCACCAGAGTTTACACATGGTAAGACCAGACGTACATGTAGGAAATGATCATGGACCAGAGTTTACACATGGTAAGACCAGACGTACATGTAGGAAATGATCATGGGCCAGAGTTTACACATGGTAAGACCAGACGTACATGTAGGAAATGATCATGGACCAGAGTTTACACATGGTAAGACCAGACGTACATGTAGGAAATGATCATGGACCAGAGTTTACACATGGTAAGACCAGACGTACATGTAGGAAATGATCATGGACCAGAGTTTACACATGTCAAGACCAGGATAGCACAATGCTAACCTGCAAGTAGAATGAAGCCCCATAGGGAAGTGCTCGTGGTGAAGTTTTGCTCCAACTCGCTCCCATTGACTCACATTGAAGAATAAACTCCTGGTGTTTCTTATTGAGGACGAGACAAAACACGTAAAAAGAATTGTTTTTTGCAGGTTTGAAGATTCGAAAGACTTTGGTGAAATTAGTGATCTCCACATCTGCAAGTCCCAGCTCTAAGATCAGCTCTAAGATCAGCTCTAAGGGCAGCTCTAAGGGCAGCTTTAAGATCAGCTCTAAGGGCAGCTCTAGGGGCAGCTCTAAGGGCAGCTCTGAGATCAGCTCTGAGATCAGCGCCTCCATCCTCGCACACGTGAGTACACTTCAAGTTTCATTCATATCTTATTCTGTTTGTTCCAATCAAAGTCCCTGTGAGTCACTATCTGCCTCTTTGGGCTGGTCCCTGTGAGTCAGTATCTGACCATTTGGCTGGTCTCTGTGAGTCAGTATCTGACCCTTTGGGCTGGTCCCTGTGAGTCAGTATCTGACCATTTGGGCTGGTCCTTGTGAGTCAGTATTTGACCCTTTGGGCTGGTCCCTGTGAGTCAGTATCTGACCCTTTGAGCAGTATCTGTCCCCACGTTAGAAAACTAACCCTTCAGACAGAAGGGGTGGGGGGAGGGGTGAACTCATGTTATGTATTTGTTATGTTAGTTTATGTCCTTTTACCACCTCTGTGTAAGTCTACACTTAGAGATTATTTAGCCCAAATTTAGTCCTGGTCTAGACCTACTGAAGTCCAGGTCTAGACTTAGTTTAGTCCTGGTCTGACCTAGTTTGTGTAAACTCTGTGTCTGTTTTCAGCTGAACCAACACCTGAAAAATAACAAAGTATCAGATTTCAAACTGAGCTGGAGCAACATCAAAGACCAGAAGGTTTTCCAACGTGTGGTCCCTGCCCCCGACTCTGAGTCTGTGTGTGACAAGAGGACCCCATAAGTGTGTGTCTGTGTGTGTGTCTATGAGTGTGTGTGTGACAAGAGGATCCAAAAGTGTGTGTCTGTGTGTGTGTGTGTCTGTGTGTGTGACAAGAGGACCCCATAGGTGTGTGTCTGTGTGTGACAAGAGGACCCCATAATTGTATGTTTGTGTGTGTGACAAGAGGATCCCATAAGTGTGTGTTTGTGTGTGACAAGAGGACCCCATAAGTGTGTGTTTGTGTGTGTGTGACAAGAGGATCCCATAAGTGTGGGTTTGTGTGTGACAAGAGGACCCCATAAGTGTGTGTGTGTGTGTGTGTGACAAGAGGATCCCATAAGTGCGGGTTTGTGTGTGACAAGAGGACCCCATAAGTGTGTGTGTGACAAGAGGACCCCATAAGTGTGTGTGTCTGTGTGTGTGTGACAAGAGTACCCCATAAGTGTGTGTGTGTGACAAGAGGACCCCATAAGTGTGTGTTTGTGTGTGACAAGAGGACCCCATAAGTGTGTGTTTATGTGTGTGTGTGACAAGAGGATCCCATAAGTGTGGGTTTGTGTGTGACAAGAGGACCCTATAAGTGTGTGTGTGTGTGTGACAAGAGGACCCCATAAGTGTGTGTGTCTGTGTGTGTGTGTGTGACAAGAGTACTCCATAAGTGTTTGTGTGTGTGTGTGACAAGAGGACCCCATAATTGTGTGTGTGTGTGTGTGTGACAAGAGGACCCCATACTGTAAGTGTGTGTCTGTGTGTGTGTGTCTGTGAGTGTGTGTGTGACAAGAGGATCCCATAAGTGTGTGTTTGTGTGTGTGTGTGACAAGAGGACCCCATAAGTGTGTGTGTGACAAGATGATCCCATAAGTGTGTGTCAGTATGTGTGTGTGTGTGAGACAAGAGGACCCCATAAGTCTGTGTGTGTGTGACAAGAGGATCCCATAAGTGTGTGTCACAAGAGGACCCCATAAGTGTGTGTCAGTGTGTGTGTCTGTCTTTGTGTGTGTGTGTGTGTGACAAGAGGACCCCATAAGTGTGTGTCTGTGTTTGTGTGTCTGTCTGTGTGTGTGTCTCTGTGTGTAACAAGAGGATTCCATAAGTGTGTGTCTGTGTGTGTGTCTGTGTGTGTGTGTGAACATGACAAGAAGATGCTATAAGTGTGTGTCCGCGTGTGTGTCTTTCTGTGTGTGTCAGTGTTTGTGTGTCTGTGTTTGTGTGTGTGTGTTTTTTAGACCTAGTTTAACTCTAGTTTACACATAGTTAAGTTCTGGTTTACACTTAGTGTAGTCCTGGTTTTGACTTTGTTTAGCTCAAGCTTAGCTGTAGTTTTGACATAGTTTAGTCCTGGTTAAGTCCTGTCTGGAGTTTGCATGTTCTCCCGGTGTCTGCGCTGGTTTCCTCCGGGTTGTAAATGTGGAGGAAGGTGATGTGTGTTCTGTTGTTTTCACCTTGTTCTGTGAAATGTATAAATAAAGATGACTTCCTTCACTTCTAAATATATGTTTTCAAATTGAATGAATCAATTGTGTTTTGGTTTCCCCGTCCCATTAGGAGGTAATAAATAATAATACATTACAATAAATGAATGGTGATTAATGCTGAAGCTGATAAATTTACCAGGTATTTTAATTTGTATGAGTTTTCTAATATAATACATCCATGGTTTTCTGTCACTTCCGCCTCGCTCTTCCTTCCGTGTACAGCTTCCGCCCGAAGCAAAACAAACCGTTAGCATCGTTAGCATCGTTAGCTCCGAGATGAAGCCTGCGCGAAACCAGCAGCTTCCGCGGGACAAACCTTCAAACCCGGGGGCACACGCCTTCACCAGCGGATAAACATCACACTCATGTCCGTGGAATAACAAACACTGCCTCATGATGAATTTACGAGGACTTTTCCAGGACTTCAACCCCAGGTAACGTTAGCCGCATGCTAGCCACATGCTAACCACATGCTAACCACTGCACCACCGGCCATTATCTGTCTCACTCTCACGGTTTCAGCTTTGATTCACTAATGGATTATAGAGTATATAATAAAACCTTCTTTGCAATAGGTTTGTGCATATGTTTTATAAATGTGCCGATGTATAACTATGTATTTAAATCACTTCTAAAATGTGTCGGTGTTACTAGTAATGAAAGCAAGGCCAATAATCTTTTCACCAAATTGCAAGTTTTGCAACATTTGCGCGGACTGACAGTGGCTTCAGATGGTAGAGTAAGACCAATAAGACTCCATGCGCTTAAAGCTAGAGTCAAACCACAATACAACCCAGAGAGAGAGACCAGAGAGAGAGAGAGAGAGGGACCAGAGAGAGAGAGACCAGAGAGAGAGACCAGAGAGAGAGACCAGAGAGAGAGAGACCAGAGAGAGAGAGACCAGAGAGAGAGAGACCAGAGAGAGAGACCAGAGAGAGAGGGACCAGAGAGAGAGAGAGAGAGACCAGAGAGAGAGACCAGAGAGAGAGAGACCAGAGAGAGAGACCAGAGAGAGAGAGACCAGAGAGAGAGAGACCAGAGAGAGAGACCAGAGAGAGAGGGACCAGAGAGAGGAGAGAGAGAGACCAGAGAGAGAGACCAGAGAGAGAGAGACCAGAGAGAGAGAGACCAGAGAGAGAGAGGACCAGAGAGAGAGACCAGAGAGAGAGGGGACCAGAGAGAGAGAGACCAGAGAGAGAGAGACCAGAGAGAGAGACCAGAGAGAGAGGGACCAGAGAGAGAGAGGAGAGAGAGACCAGAGAGAGAGACCAGAGAGAGAGACCAGAGAGAGGACCAGAGAGAGACCAGAGAGAGACCAGAGAGAGACCAGAGAGAGAGACCAGAGAGAGACCAGAGAGAGACCAGAGAGAGAGAGAGAGAGACCAGAGAGAGAGACCAGAGAGACCAGAGAGAGACCAGAGAGAGACCAGAGAGAGAGACCAGAGAGAGACCAGAGAGAGACCAGAGAGAGACCAGAGAGAGACCAGAGAGAGAGACCAGAGAGAGACCAGAGAGAGACCAGAGAGAGAGACCAGAGAGAGAGACCAGAGAGAGACCAGAGAGAGACCAGAGAGAGACCAGAGAGAGACCAGAGAGAGAGACCAGAGAGAGACAGAGAGAGACCAGAGAGAGAGACCAGAGAGAGACCAGAGAGAGAGACCAGAGAGAGAGACCAGAGAGAGACCAGAGAGAGACCAGAGAGAGACCAGAGAGAGACCAGAGAGAGACCAGAGAGAGGACCAGAGAGAGACCAGAGAGAGACCAGAGAGAGACCAGAGAGAGAGACCAGAGAGAGACCAGAGAGAGACCAGAGAGAGAGGACCAGAGAGAGACAGAGAGAGACCAGAGAGCGAGACCAGAGAGCAGAGAGAGACCAGAGAGAGACCAGAGAGAGACCAGAGAGAGACCAGAGAGAGAAGGGACCAGAGAGAGACCAGAGAGAGACCAGAGAGAGACCAGAGAGAGACCAGAGAGAGAGAGCAGGAGAGAGACCAGAGAGAGAGACCAGAGAGAGAGACCAGAGAGAGGCAGAGAGAGACCAGAGAGAGAGCAGGAGAGAGACCAGAGAGAGACCAGGAGAGCCAGGAGAGAGACCAGCGAGAGACAGAGAGAGGACCGATGACAGGGAGGACCGAGAGAGACCAGAGAGAGGAGAGAGAGAGACCAGGGAGAGACGACGAGGACCGAGAGAGCCAGAGAGAGACCAGAGAGAGGCCGAGAGAGAGACCAGGGAGAGCGAGAGAGACCAGAGAGAGACCAGAGAGAGACCAGAGAGAGACCAGTGAGAGAGACCAGAGATCGGACCAGAGAGAGAGCCATGAGAGAGCCAGAGAGAGACCAGAGAGAGTGACCCTTAGAGAGGACCAGAGAGATGACCAGTAGAGAGACCGAGAGGATGAACCGAGGGAAGAGGGACCAGAGAGAGATCCAGAGAGATGAGACCAGAGAGTGAGAAGAGAGAGGAGAGAGAGAGAGACCATGAGAGAGAGACCAGACGAGAGACCTAGGAGAGAGACCAGGAGTAGAGGTACCAGAGAGAGATTACCAGAGATGAGACTGAGACGAGAGACGAGAGAGGACAGAGAGTAGAGACCAGAGAGAGAGAGAGACCAGAGAGAGATGGAGACCAGAGAGGAGAGACCAGAGAGAGAGACCAGAGAGAGAGAGACCAGAGAGAGAGACCAGAGAGAGACCAGAGAGAGAGAGACCAGAGAGGAGAGATGACCAGAGAGAGAGAGAGAGAGACCAGAGAGAGAGAGAGAGAGACCCAGAGAGAGAGACCGAGAGAGAGAGAGAGGAGAGAGAGAGAGACCCAGAGAGAGACCACAGAGAGAGAGGGAACCAGAGAGAGAGAGAGAGAGGACCAGAGAGAGAGACCAGAGAGAGAACCAGAGAGAGAGAGAGAGAGAGACCAGAGAGAGACCAGAGAGAGACCAGAGAGAGAGAGGGAGACCAGAGAGAGACCAGAGAGAGAGACCAGAGAGAGAGGACAAGAGAGAGAGAGACCAGAGAGGAGACCAGAGAGAGGACCAGAGAGAGAGAGAGAGACCAGAGAAGAGACCAGAGAGAGAGAGAGACCAGAGAGAGAGAGACCAGAGAGAGAGAGGACCAGAGAGAGAGACCAGAGAGAGAGAGAGGACTCCAGAGAGAGAGAGAGAGGGACCAGAGAGTAGAGAGAGAGAGACCAGGAGAGCAGAGAGAGAGAGAGAGAGAGACGGAGAGAGAGAGAGAGAGTACCAGAGAGAGAGACCAGAGGAGAGACAGAGAGAGAGAGAGGACCAGAGAGAGAGAGAGGGACCAGAAGAGATGACCAGAGACGGAGAGACCAGGAGAGAGAGAGAGAGAGGGAACCAGGGAGAGAGAGAGAGAGAGACCAGAGGAGAGACCAGAGAGAGACCAGAGAGAGAGAGAGAGAGGGACCACCAGAGAGAGAGAGGGGAGAGAGAGAGACCAGAGAGAGAGGAGGAGACCAGAAGAGACGCCCAGAGAGAAGACAGAGAGAGAGACCTCAGAGAGAGAGGAGAGACCAGAGAGAGAGACCATGTGAGGAGAGAGAGGACCAGAGAGAGAGAGGATGAGACCAGAGAGAGAGGAGGAGAGAGGGACCAGGAGGTGAGAGAGAG